CGCTTCTAGGCCACTGGTTTCTTGAGTGGATTGGTGCTGAGTTTGTGTTGAGAAACCGAAGTAAGAATTCCCAGCATATCTACTGAGGTCCATGCAAAAACATCTTTGTTAGCTCGAAGAAACGTTATCAGCTCTGCTCTCTCCTCAGGGTTCAACCGAGTTCCTATCTGTGTTTTCCTGGTCGGATCTCTGTCATCAATCTGTACCTCTTCAACATCTTCACCTGGAGCAGCTCAGGTTTCATCTTCAGGTCGGTTATCGAGGATTTCAACCCCCATCACTTGCCGATTGTCATGGATTTCCTGGGGAGGATTTTCTGCTGGTTGGTCTTTGTCTTTCTGTGGCCTCGTGACCGAAGTGAGATAACAATGTCTAGCTACTTCCTGATTGCCTCTGAGTGTTGCTACGCCCAAGGGGGTTGGAAATTTCATGCAGAGATGAGATTGAGAGACCATAGCTCGGATCTCTGTTAATGTGGGCTTGCCAATGACAACATTGAAAGAGGACGCCATCTTGACTACTAGAAACCGAACTGAAGGAGTCACATACTTTCGGCCACTTCCAAATGCAACATTCATGGTTAGGACTCCTTCAACTGGAACCGGTTGGTTGTTGAAACCATATATGGGACCATCATAACGCTGTAGTAAAGCTGGGTTAAGCCTTAAGCTCTCAAAGCAGTGGTAGTACATGATGTCAAGTGCGCTGCCAGTGTCAACAAGTACACGCTGGACTTGACAATTGTTGATCATTATAGAGATGACCAAGGGATCATTGTGAGGTGTTACCACCCCTTCAAAATCAACAGGTGTAAAAGTGATTGGTTGCTCTTTCCAGTCAGCATCATCAATTTTCCTTTTCTGAGCTCGGTTCAAGTGCTTGACCTCTCTGACATACAACTTCTTTTGCTTGGAGCTCATCCCCCCTGCTTCCAATCCTCCTATAATCATGTGTATAATTCTGGCTAGTGGTGGAAGAGGAGGTGGGGCTTATTGGTGTCCCACTCCTTGCCTATTCGGTGGATTACGGATTCCTTAAGGCTGTTGTCCCTGTTCTCTGACAAATCTTGGTTGTTCGGCTCTCTGGATGTACTCATTCAACATTCCTTTCTGAGCTAGGTTTTCCAACTCGGACCTCAGACTGTTGCATTGCTCTGTTGTATGACCGTGATCTTGATGAAAATTACAATATCGAGTATGATCCCGGCTAGCAGCAGCAATTCTCATTGGACCAAGATGCCTTAAGTCCATCTTGTTCTTAATATGCATGAAAATCTATGACCTCGGCAAGTTAAAAGGGGTCCAAGCAACTAGAGGTTTACCTGGAGACTGTTGTGGGGGTGTTGAGTTCGGCCTTCCGAATCTCGATGTAGAGGTCGGCATCGAACCTCGATTCTGTGCTATCCTCATCCGTTTCCTGCTCGGATTCTCATATCTCTAGTCTGGGTTTTGGTTCTTAGGGGGAATTGGGTTCTGCGACAGGGCATATTCTTCAGTAGTTATAAATTTCAGAGACCTATCATTCACCTCGTTAAAGGTGGTGGCAGCGTGTTTGATCAAACTATCTCTGAATCTCTCATGGTTGAGACTTGAGATCACAGCTGCAATTCCCACAGCCTGGTCGAAGGAGCTAACCTCCAATACTGCATCATTGAATCTGCTCATATAATTCTTCAGAGATTCTCCGTCCCTCTGTTTAACTCACATCAACTCGGAAGTAGTTTTCCTTATCAACCTTCTGTTGGAAAACTTTGTGGCAAAAGCAGATGCCATTTCTGTATAAGAGCTGATTAACTTCGGAGGTAGACTGTAATACCAAGTTCGAGCATTACCTCGGAGAGTTGAGGGAAAAATTTTGCACATCAACGCGTCAGAGGCGTTCTGAGCTTGCATGCAAGAATAGAAAGCATGCAGGTGATCATCGGGATCCTTCGTCCCATCATAAGTCTCAAGCTGAGGTATTTTGAAGCCAGTAGAATAGGGTTCCAATGTGATGTTGGTGTTCAGAGGGTGGGGTATGGAGTCAGTAGCATGGTGAGGAGGTGAGGCACCTCGCTATTCAGCCACTAGTTTTTCTAAGCTGTCTAGACGTCATGTGACATCATCAGGAAGAGGTGGTTGAGCTGGTGCTATATGAGACTGGCCCTGAGATTCACTAAGAGCAGGAGGATGCTGAACTGGTTCAGGGTTTTGTTGTGGGGCTGGGGGTTATGGAGCAGGGTTAAGGAGATTGATGAGGGGATCACCAAGGTTGTTCCGAGCTAAGAGCTGAGCCAACACTAGCTGAAAGACAACAAACTGTTGTTGCATGGCAGCAAGCTAAGCTGCAACTACATCTTGGTTGGCAGTGGAAGTAGAGTTGTGAGCTGAATTGTGTGGTTGATTCTCATCTCCTCCCTCTACATGATCAACAGGAGGGAACATATTTGGGATCTAGGGTGGAAGCTGAGGTGGAAGGCTGTTGGGGGGTTGACCTCGTCCAAGAGGCTGAGATGAGTTTCCAGCTCGGACTGATCGAGTGTTAACCATTATGAGAGAGCAACAAAAGAGCTTTCAGTTCGGATTTCCACAGACGGCGCCAAATGTAATTACACCAAACCAGATGTCCTTTCTTAGTCCGTGTCTGCACTCTAGATTGACCTGCAAAGCCCCGAGATGGATCTCGAGGTAGACACTCCGATGCTTAAGTCAGCAATAATCAGGACTACCTTTAGAACGGAGAAAAACAGAGCTTAGGGTTGGTTTCAATTACCTTTTTGACGTGGCCTCTGGGGGGTATTTATAGGCTCCAGTGAGGAACCCACGTGGCATGCCAAACAAGATAGTCGGAGCCTGACGTGTATCCAAATGGTTATTTCGGGACAGAGAATTTGAGAGATATTCAGATGTAAGGACGTCCATCATAGCTGCTGTGCAGCTCATTATAAAGAATCAAGTGCGGGCATGCTTACTGTTGCTGTCATGCAGCAATTCAGATGGGAATCTTTGGATTTATCCTTCATTTCAGTCATAAAAGAATTACTGTCATACGTCAGAGGCTGAGCACCTCGGACCTGCCCTTACACTCTCCTAATCCAAATTACTACTGATATATATGTAATATCTGAATGGTAGTAGCGATTCTCCTAAGAAATCATCATCTGATTCACTAGAAGACGCTGTTGTAGACATGTCTGACATGAAATGAAAACGAAGTTTGTTGCGGGTATGATTTAAACACTACAATTGTCGTCTTCTTTGCCCACTCGTTATACATCCTAGAAGATTTTTCTTCTCCAGGAAAGTTCCAGAACACTATAAATGTGGACTGATTGAATTCATTTGTGGCAATTTTAAGGTTCCCTTCAGCTAATAATTCACATGAGAATAGAAACATTTTATGCAGAATTCATTTTGGATCTCTCACAAGATATAACTTTAACTCTTTAAGGTTTTAATTAATATAGTTATAATTTTGTGTTTTTGGTTTTGGTTATTACAAATTTTGTAACTATTGAAAATTAAAATTAAAATTTAAAATTTAAAAATTTATTTTAAATAAATTTTAATATTGATAATTAAAAATATTTATTTAATAATATTAAAATTCTTTTTTATTATTTTTTTAATAATTATAATAACATATTTCAAAACACATAAAAATAAATAATTTTTTATTTAAAATTATAAAATTTATAAGAATTAATAATAAAAATTTAAAATTATAATCATATTAAATCGATTTAATTTTTTTTTATTGGGTTTAGTAAGGAGGTTATGAGTTTTGACCCGACTGGGTAGTCGTTGGACAGGCCGAGTAAAGATGCTTAAATTGGGCCCAAACCATGTCCATTGTGGCATTTCGATATTGGATTGGGCTACCAGGTTCTTCAAACTCTCGGTAATTTTTTTTTTCAAAAAAAAGTAGAAAATTCAAAATTCTTCAAAGCACAAAGTTATTATTAAAAAAAGAAAATGAAATTTTGCTAGCTGCTGCAAGGGGGCAAGTGTCACTACTTGTGTCACTATGTGCAATAATTTAGCCATTCATACCTCTACTAATCCCTTAGGTCCTGTTTAATTGGTGATAGTGTATTTTTTTTAGTTAAATTATAAAAATAAAGTAAATTTGATAAATTTAAAAATAGTTAAACCTTAATTTTCTGTTTTTAACTTGTGTATAAGAGCTTGTAGAAGGGTTGCTAAAAATAAAAAAATAAGTGGTAAGCGGTTTGTTTCAGTTTAAGTAAGGTCTCAAGTTCACGCGGCAGTCCTCGCTGGGAGACTCACCCACCATTTTTAGGTGCGCAATGCGGGTTGGGTCCGGATTAGTCGGGGCGAAGCCCCAGATAGGATGGGAAACCAAAAAAAATAAAAAAAAAAATTCATGCTACCCATCCTCCATCCATGGAGGATGGCATTCCAACCCCCGGCTCTGCAAGTTCCAAGATTACTTTTATTAGGCTGCCCATCCACAGAGAATGGGGTTGGCCTACTGGTCCTACTAGGGTAGCTGAGGTAAAGAGTCACTATAATGTTTTGGTCCAAGCCATTCATTCCTTTATTCAGTCACAAATAATTTTTTATTTTTAGGACAATTTTTAGTTATATCTTGCACTCTTATAAATGTCATCTCATCTAATTCTTTCAATATTGTGGGATTTAGTTCTCTCCTCTCTCTTTAAGTAATTTGTGCTTCCAAATGAACATATAAATTGAATCAACTAAATAGTTGAAGTGAACTACAATTGGGAATTAGCTTAGAATAGGGAGTTTTGCACTGCAATCGTCATTTTTTTGACCCCAATCGTTGTGCATTCAAGCAGATCTTTCTTCCATTCATGAAAGCCCCAGCAGCATATATGAAAATTTTATTGAATTTCTTAATGTAAATATGGTTCTTTTTATTTATTTATTTAAGAGGAGTTCAATATCTTCAAATCCTTTAATTAAGGACAAATATAATGAAACCTGTTAACAAAGTAGGATAACAACTACTACAATAAACTTAAGAAACAAAAACTAATAAGAATTTAGCCAAATTACTATTTACTAACTTAAAAATTCTGATTTGGAATCAGACTTAAAGGTTTAAATTTATATGATACTTATTAGCTAATCCTTCAATCTACCAAAAAAAAAACTCATCAAACATAAATGTAAAGGCTTATACTTCCCGAGATTCTTGATAATTCCTTGAATAGGTTTTTATTCTGTTTTGTTATATTAACAAGTAAGCGCGGCATGCATTTACTTAAGCAATTGCAATAGGTATATGTATTGCATTATAATGCTCATTTTTGTATTATATTGTAGTATTTCAAGTTGTGTTTATCATTGTTTTAATGTGAAGACATTGAAGATTTATTTTTCTCTATTAATGTCGAAGAAAGGCAATAAACTTTTGGGAAATGATGTTAATTGCAGACTTTGTTATATAGGAACTAACTCTCCAAATTACTACATATATATATATATATCTGCTATCTGAATCGTAGTAGCGATTCTCCTTAGAAATCATCATCTGATTCACTAGAAGATGCTGTTGCAGATAGGTCTGACATGAAATGAAAACGGAAGTTCCTTGCTCGCAGGGGACTTAGTTTTGATGGTGAAGATGGTGGTGATGATCCTCCACCTTGTGTTACACTCTTCCTTTGAAGCTTCCGAGTAATGTCTGCACGTACTCGATCAACCATGTCCAGGAAATCTTTCACAATGACGAACAGCTGAAGTGGATGTGTTTCCTTCTCTTTGGAGGCTCCTGCCTGGTAATATTCTGTAGTCCTCTTCACAAGCTGCATAACCCTTATTTGTTCCCCTCTCACCACCCCAAGTTCCTCACTGCACTCCTCTAAAAATTCTTTCATTTCTCTTACAAATCTAGTCATCTCATCATTATCACGGCATGTCAAAAGTTGCCTAATTTCTGCAACTTGGGTTGTTAGGGTGTAGCAAGCATTGATGAAACTCTCATACTCTATGGTGGCTGCGGTCTTCACATTGGAGAATTCATTGCTCAAGGCTCCCAGTGCTGGTAATCCTAGCATTAGATATTCTTTTTCTTTTTCTTCTGTTGTCTGGCTATCTGAAGAACTCAAATTGCTATTGCCATTTTGACTGTTGGATCTTCCAAGGCTGTGGTTCTGGGCAACTGCTTGGCGTCTGCCTTCTGACCGCACAACTTGTTCCACAACGAAGTGAAGAAGAGTTGTCTTTCCATCAGTGCTTTTGACATCAGAAAGTTTCTGAAGAGCTCTAAGATTGAAACCTTTTGCATTGCCTCTTGCTGTTCCCGCATTCATCCTATTGCCAGCCTTTAGGATAGCCTCCAGTAATTTCAAGAAGAGGCCCTGGTTTCTTAACTCCTTGCATGCCAATTCAAGTGTTTGTACAGATTCCTTGAGGTTAAGAATCTCTGACTCATAATTCTGCTTGAAAAGCATAGCATTGGTGCGCATGAAAGCTGAAGGAACGGCTTTCAGGACATGATAAAGGAAAGATTCAGCATCTGCAAGTTTAGTTGGATTGCCGTTGAATTGGAGGATTTTTGCTTCTTCTTCTTTGGTTGGGGCAATGTTTGCTAGCTTCTCAAGAGTTTCAGCACTGAGTTCCTGGCCCTCACGAAGAGCATCAATTATTTCTTTCCTAGATATTGCTAGAGATTTCAACACAATTGCAGTGTTCTGAGACTTCCGGGGGTCAAGAATGAAAACTTGAGCTGTAGGGGCAAGGTTGGAGCTGCCTGAAGTTTCTGAAATGGTGTTGTTTTGAGGAGAATTGCGGTTGGCAGTAGAGTACCCAAACAGGGTTTCAATTAATTCATCATCAAATCTGAAGAGAGCACCAGAACCAGTAAGAAGATAACTTAAGATATGGCATTCAGAAACAATAACTATGCAGAAAGTCCAAATGCAAAATTACCTGAGGGATCCATCTTTTATCTGATCCCAAACCATTGAATGATCAGCATCAGCCATAACTTTATCCCAATGCAGTGGCTTTAGCTTCATCCGGCCAAAACCAGTCTCTTTCCGACCCTCTGTTGATGTTCCTGCCCTGATCCTGTTGTTTGATGTAACTCTAGGTAGAGGTGGGGGTCTTAACAATGAAATAGAACCCCCTGACTTTGGTGGTGAGGCTGGTGTTGAAGGATTTTTCTTCACTAGAATTGGTGGCAACGCTGGTATTGGAGGAGGAGGGAGAGGCGGTGATGGTGGGCTCTTGTTAGCTAGAATTGTTAGTGATGATGGTGGTGGAGGAGGGGGAGGAGGAGGTGGAGGTGTTGCCACAGGAGTTTTCTTTCCATAAGGTGTTGGTTCTGGCATTTGTTTCCTTGACCTAACTGCAAGAGGTTGTGGAAGGAGGGTTGGATCTAAAGGCTGAACAGACTTTTCTTCTTGTTTACCACATGGCACATCAGGAAGCTGAAACGCCTGAGGTTTAGATTTTCTTGATCTCTCAACTGTATTATCTATCCTCTTTTCTTCTTCCTCTTCTTCAAAGCTAGGATTAAACATAACCTTAGGAAATGTAGTCTTATGTTGTCCATCTTCAAGTTTCCTCATGTAAAGAACATCCCTTCCATTTTCTTCATATAACCATCCCTTCACTCTTTTGCCACATTTCTTGAACTCATCCTGGTGATCCTGATTCACCACAGCTTCCCTACGGAAGCTTGACTCATGTTCATCTCTCTTGCAGCACCTTCTGAATTTTCGGAAGAAGAAGAAGAAAATTCCAGCAATGATTAGAGTAGCTGCAGCCGTGGCAACGACAGCCTTCACAACTTTCCCATTTGATGATGATGAAGGCGGCATTGATTGACTTTGAGTCAAGGAGATAGGGGAAATTGGGTCTATTGCTGGAGAATCAAGCCTGTAAAGAATGCTGATTTTTTCTGAAGAAAGTTTTTAAGGAGAACAGACAGGATGAACAATAGAGCAAGACAGCAAATGGAGTATCATAGATGGAAAAAAACCATCATACTGGATGGAAACAGGAGAAGACCACAAAGGAAAATCCCTCATTCTAGCCCTCTGCTTTGTTTTTGGTAAAACACTGAAGCACATCCATTAACTGTATGCTTGTTTGTAACCCTGTTTGTAGCCTTCAATTGGTGCATTCCTAGACAACGTGTTTTGTGCAGTTTCTGTCCAATGCCATTCATGACTGGTTGCTGACAGTTTTCAATGAAGGTCGTTGTTGCTGTTTTATTAGTTTTTACTCTCTTGGACTTCTTTTGCCCTTCAAATGACTACATTGCCCTCTTACAGAAATTGCAGTTTTCTTTTCTTTTGGTGCATGAGATAAGACTATCTCCAAAACCCAGGCTACTCATGCATTTTCATTATTTCAACTATTTTTAGATTTTCACATTCAAGGGGCCATCCTTTATGGATTAGAGTTGTTTAGTCCATGGCAGATCACACTGTACAACACTTTTCTGTTTAGATTTAATATAATAAATGCCTATGAAAACAAAGATTGAGTGGCCATTTTCTGTTACAGAGAGTTGTGGTGATCTAACTTTGGAAGCCACCAAACATTGGCCTGCAACCTGCCATATGGAAAGATATGGTTGGGAAATCAGATGAACAAGGCTTAAAAAATAATTTAAATTTTAGAATTTTTTAGTTTTTAAATATTAATATTTTTCATTGAGTTGTTCTAGCCCTTTTTCTTTTCTTAGATATGTCAACTATTTCACCAATGTTCTCTTCTGTTTGTTTTTTTCAGGATCAAAGCACTGAGCATAATACAGAATGTGAAAAACAAAGATACAAATATAACAAGATCTAGCTTCATTGGGAAGTCAGATAAAGAAGAACATCATCTTTGCAGTCTCTCATATGTTTCTCTTTGTTCTATTAATAGAACCCTGATTTTGATTATAAATCAAAAATTTTTTTTCCAATAATGGATTGTGCAAAAAAAGCATAATCTAAGTATTAAAATTATCAAAACACTCTTAATAAAACTCTCTTTTATGTTTATTTATTAATAGTACTTAGTAATTTTAATACTTGAATTACTTTTTTTTGTAGTCTGTATTTAAAAACACTAATCTTTTTACAAATTATATATAGAGTTAGTACTTATCTGCTTTATTTCTAAAAAATAAGAGAAAAAATAATAAAAATATTTTAATTTATACTTTAAAAATAAGATATTTTAATTTTTTTTCAAAAAGATAAAGTGAACTTTTTACAGTAATTC